TATGCACTGCTGCATAGTATGAAGACTATACCCTTCCTACAAGTTTCTCAGTTCCCTCAGAAAGCTGCAACCAATTTGGAGGAGCTTTTTATGACTTCCTTTCAGAACTTGAAGCTCTTATATGGTATCTTCACTTTCAGTTCTATAAACTCTGTTAAAGTAGCCAATTTAAGGGAAAATGCTATGCCATCCCCTTAGCTGATCACCCAGTCCAAACCTTCCCAGGGTTTTTTAATTGGTCAATTTACTCTATGTCTTTCAATGGAGAATTCAAGTCTTCCCAGTATCTTTCAACTAAGAAGTCAAGGTACCTCTTTCCTGAACTGCCTAAAGTTCAAGGAAACGCCACTCCTTACAGCAAAGAATTTGTTAACTAAGATGAGATGTCCGAGACCCAGGAGAGATATACTCAGTTGTCTGAACTCCTGGTGGAGGTGGATGGGCACAAGAGGTCCTTGCTGGTACCAAGGCTTTGGATCCTCATAGAACTCAGCAGAAAGACAGAAATCAGCTCCAAGTCCCTTCATGGTCACCAAAATTGTCCACTGAGAGAAAAATATACAACGTAAAAGTTGTGCATTTCCGTTTTACTCAGGGAACTTACTGAGGACCATAGCCTGGGAACAGCCTCTCAGACAGCGCTGAGGAACTGCTCCAAGGAGATAGGGGAGGAGCCAGTAAATATAGGAATTTTGGGGCTAGGAAATACATGATGTCAAGCACATATCTTCATAACAGATTACTGTTAATCACAAAGAACAGATATCTGAAGTTAATGAATTTAGTGCTTTTTTATGTATGGGAAGATGCAAGAACCTGAGATCTTTGAGATTTTTTCTGAGATATGCATCTTAACTATCTAGGGACCCATTCCAAAATAAGAGAATGCTCCATCCTGTCTTTGCATCTTGATTCCTCTCAGGGTGCACTGTTGTTGGGCAATTACAGTGGACTGTGACTTAACCCTTGGTATAACTAGATCATGAGTGACACCCTTGGTCCTTTTTTTTGTTGTTGTTCACAGAGGTTTTAGTTCAGTAAGTAAGGCATGACAACTTAATCCATTACTGAAAGGTAAGTGTTAGCTACCGGAACTATGCTTGGGAGGAAGAACAGGGAAGGGATGTCATCTGAACTCTCTTCACCTTCTCCAAGTAAGATCATGTGCCTCTTGCTTTGTGAACATCTTCAACAGGAAATAATACCATTATCCTGCAGTAAAGATCAAGCAAACTGCAAATGTGAATGAGTTGCTTGTAAGAGGTAACACATCAGCTTAAGTTCACAATATGTGCATGTGAATAAGGTCAGAGTGTTTCCTGAGGTTCTGAGGAGGAGGAGAGAGAAGAGAGTTGGCCGAGTGCACAAATATTATGGAGGTAACAGGAGCAGGAATCCAGCTTTATTTTTTTTTTCATTTATTTTTATTAGTTGGAGGTTAATTACTTTACAACATTGCAGTGGTTTTTGTCATACATTGAAATGAATTAGCCAAGGATTTACATGTATTCCCCATCCTGGTCTCCCCTCCCACCTCCCTCTCCACCCGATCCCTCTGGGTCTTCCCAGTGCACCAGGCCCGAGCACTTGTCTCATGCATCCAACCTGGGCTGGTGATCTGTTTCACCCTAGATAATATACATGTTTCGATGCTGTTCTCTTGAAACATCCCACCCTCGCCTTCTCCCACAGAGTCCACAAGTCTGTTCTATACATCGGAGTCTCTTTTTCTGTTTTGCATATAGGGTTATCATTACCATCTTTCTAAATTCCATATATATGTGTTAGTATACTGTAATGGTCTTTATCTTTCTGGCTTACTTCGCTCTGTATAATGGGCTCCAGTTTCATCCATCTCATTAGAACTGATTCAAATGAATTCATTTTTAATGGCTGAGTAATATTCCATGGTGTATATGTACCACAGCTTCCTTATCCATTCGTCTGCTGATGGGCATCTAGGTTGCTTCCATGTCCTGGCTATTATAAACAGTGCTGCGATGAACATTGGGGTGCACGTGTCTCTTTCAGATCTGGTTTCCTTGGTGTGTATGCTCAGAAGTGGGCAACATCACTCATTATAAGAGAAATGCAAATCAAAACCACAATGAGGTACCATTACACACCAGTCAGGATGGCTGCTATCCAAAAGTCTACAAGCAATAAATGCTGAAGAGGGTGTGGAGAAAAGGGAACCCTCTTACACTGTTGGTGGGAATGCAAATTAGTACAGCCACTATGGAAGACAGTATGGAGATTTCTTAAAAAACTGGAAATAGAACTGCCATATGACCCAGCAATCCCATTTTAGAGACTCCAGCTTTAGGAATCCAGCTTTAGAGACTCTATAAGAGCTGGGACGCTGGAGGCAGTCTCAGCTGACTTCACAAGTGTGTAGTAACTGTAACTGAGTGGTCACTATTGTCAGCCTTACTCTTCCTGAGGTGGAGAAGGAATATCAATAAGGCAAGATTCCAAACATTCACAAGTTCCAAGTTTGGCCACAATCTTTAAGCTCTAGAAATTCGTAACTGAATGTATCCAAATGAATGTAACTAATGTAATTAATATATGTAGTTTGTTAGTCAATGAATATTTAAATTGATATCCTATGCCAGTTATATTGATATCAATTCTCCTTTATTGATCTCAGAATAATTTAAAAGAGAATAAAAAAGACTAGAAATAAGTAATAATCATGAATACAAGACAGTACATATAAAATTAAATAAAAATAGAATTTTTCAAACTGAAGTAATGTACAGACACCTGTCTAAAGGAAAATAAGCTTGTCATGGACCACCTAGTCCTTATACAAATCACTTTTATTGTAATGTTTGGTAAAAATATATCAACATAGCCTTGGTATAAATGCCTTATGCTTATACAGCTATAAAACCAAAACATATTTACAAACTCAATATAAACTCAAATAAGATTCACCTGAACAATATCTGATGTGACATTTGATGCTGTTTTGCTGAAATGAAGACCCTACCTGCAATGTAAATATTGCATGATATAGATTCTTTGGATTTCAGTGATCTCTTAACTCTTGACTGCTCAATGGAGAAGATGCCTGACTTCCGTCCAAATGGATTCTCCTGAGACTCCTATAAATTCCAAATGTGGAGGTGCAGGGGGTGCTTGGAAACCTAACTGTCCCAAATATATGCTCTGAGGGGTTGAACTGAATAAACAAGCACAATACCCTGGGCTGGGATAATGATTATTGCACTATAAAAAAAAATGTGGGGGGGGGGGAGAACATTTAAGTTCTCCTCTTTTAGCACATTTCAGTTATAAATATGGCTCAATTTTTTTTCATGAAAATGAGAGTATACTAGTCATACTCTCATGGTGCTTCATGTTAGCACTATAAATTTAGATACATTTTCCACTGTGAAGCTGTACCATTATTTCACCAGCCATTCTTGATAAGTACCATGAAATAATACACCCAATCCTGCTTTTTTTCATTCCAGGTTCAAAAAGTAGCTTTCTGGTTATCTATGGATGCACACACCAGTTACAAGAAGAGAAATTAATAACCAGAGAATGAAAATTATCATCTTATTGAAATAATCAACAAAAGATCATTCTGGCTAGACTATTACACAGAAGTCTGGAAATGAGTGCTTTCTTTAGTTCTGATCACCTGCAGGGGTTCCTAAAACTCTAATCAGCTTTGTGTTTGCCCCAGAATAGGAAGTAAGGTGACTTTACCTGCATACCACCTGGGGAGATAGCTTTATGTTAAGCAACGAGTGTTCCTTAGCGGCTGTCTCCTTGCATTCCATTTCAAGTTTTAACACTACCTTCATTGTCAGAGTTGGTGGGTTTCAGCAGCAAGACCCTGGGACAAGAAATGGAAAGTCTTCATCTAAGGAACGGAGATTTGAATTGGGCCTTAATAGACAGATACAATTTAGGCAGGTGACCCAGATGGTGATTAATAAGTGAGGGCCATATAACACAAGCAAGTTCAGCTGTCACCTTCTCAAAGACAGTATACAATATTCATGGCACGGACTGAAAATATACATAGTGGGACAATACCTGTGGTGGGAAAAAAATACATGAGAGAGGGAATCTTCAGTGTCATCACTCTCTTTAAAACATAATGAGATAAGAAAAGGGATAAAAGGGGTACACACACTAAAAAGGAAAAAAGACAACTAGTGTTATTTTTTGGCTGCGTGGCGTGTGGGATCTCAGTTCCCTGATCGGGGATCGAACCCAGGCCACAGTAATGAAAGCCTGGAATCCTAACCACTAGGCCACCAAGGTACTCCCCAAGACAGCTCTTATTTGCAGATTATATGATTTTTCTCCACCCAAAAAAAGGAATCCAAGAGAACAAGAGAGTTTTATAAAACTAAATCAAAAGCAATATATATTTATATACATATAGCTTGTCCTACATAGCACTTATAAACAGTTGGAAAATATAATTTAAAAAGTCTTATTCTTAATACCAACAAAACCTATGGACTATCTAGATATAAACTTAGTAAGTAACAAGAAAGAAAAGGAACAAGAAGAAAAACATGAAATTTTACTGAAACATAAAATTAGGCTTGAGAAAAGCGAAGAGATATGTACCTGGTTGAGAAGACTAAATATTAGAAAGTAGTCATTTCTTTCTAAATTAGTCTATAAATATAATGTACTATATCAAACTCTCAATTGGATTTTGTCTGTTAAATTTACAGATGGCTCTGATTCCCTGCTCCTGCTATAGATCCCATTTCCAAATACTATCACACTGGGGGACACATGTGAGTTTGAGAGGGGGAGCAGAATTCAGTCCGTAACACTGGGTTATTAAAGTGTTGGGAAATGGGTCTTCCATTTTTCTCTCTGCAGGAATAAAAAGAGCCATAATTTCAGCGTAAAATAATTTCCTTACAAACCATCATCAAAGGGGTTAAGGGAGTGTCTACCTGCTAGGAGCAGGACCACTTTTCAGCAAGACTCCTCCCTTTCTTTTGCAGAAGTCAAGTGGGAGCCCCAGACCTGTGTCTCTCGCTAAGCTGTGACATTTCTTCAGCTCTCACGGCTCCGGGTCCTCCAGCACCGATTGCCCCTGCCCTTGGCTCAATCAGTGGATACCGTGGTGTGCCGCCAACACTTCTCCCTCCCCTATCAGAACCAAGCTGCTGGCGGTGTTGGACCTCGACAGCGGTGAGTTGAGCTCCCCTCCAGAGACTGTACTTAGCTGAAGGAAGCCAAACCTGCTTCAAGCTCCTGCCCTCTTCCCCAGTGTCACATCCAATGACTGACTGATGCAGGGGCAGAGAAGCCTGGCCTCCTTGACTCAATTCAGGGCAACTCTGAAAGGCTTTCCCAGTTCGAGAGCTACCCATCATATTAGTGGAGGACTCTGGAGTGACAGCAACATAGTCCAACTTCTTCGTCTCCCTCATCCTGCTCCCTTCACTTCCCTGAGGTACTAAACCTCTTGCACACAAATCTCCATCTCAGATTCTTTTTCCTGAGGACTTCAATAGGAGCAATCTCATTCCTCGTTGGCTTTGCCTGTGCCCTTTGTGTATCCTTCCTTCACCTCTCTGCATTCTTTGAAACTCTAAGTATCTTCTGGAATTCCAGATCAATCAGCAAAAAAATCTTTATACAAAGGCAGAGACAGACAATTTTCTTTCAGTCCCTTGGATGTCAGAAGAATTATACCTAGTTTACTTTTATGGGGAGGGGTCTCTAATAGGCACCCAACCTTGATAGTTCCCGGGCTTTGTCTCCTATCCCCCTTGCCCTTCAAGGCCATGGAAATCTGCATTCATATTTACCAGTTTGATAAACACTGTGCCACTGGAAATGAAAATTCCAAATCTTACCTTTGTAATTACGTTTCACACTCTCACCCCGATGCCTAATGCAAGCATTTCAGTCATGCTGTTCTTCCTCCCTGAAGGTGGATTGCTAGGTACCTAGTAGTAGTGATAGGAAATAGTGGACCTACCAAGTGAGAAGTGAAGTACTACGTAGGGGTGCTTAGAACTTTCCAAATTCTCAGCCTCTAATGAGGGAGTCAGAGCAAGGACCAATGTATAATGAAATCAAAATGATAAAACTATTCATAATCTAACCACAGAATGCCACATGGTATAAAAAGACAATTTTTCTGACTGTAACATAGATCATAACTTTTTAGAAGAAGTGGAGCTTTTCTGACAACCTGTGATCATATATCAGCTTTTATGCTTCCATAGACCCTGCTGGGACTCCCTATCCTCACTCTCTGAGGATGAGAGGCCTGACTCTGCCTCCCTGGATTGAGCCACGATCATGGTCCCCAGAATTCACAAAGAGGGCTAGGCCTGGTGTGGCACAGCGTGCCAAGTGATCTGGAGAGGAGGAGGCAGGGTGTGGAGAAGGAGATGGCTGTGGCCATGGTGAATGACGATAAGGTAAGGGAGGGAGAGGACAAGAGAGGGCTGGCTTCTGAAGAACTCTCTCAGGCAGAACTGGATATTATCACTTGGAGCAGTGGTCCTCAAACATGCTCAGAGGTGGGGCATAATTTAAAAAGTAAGAACTTGCATTTTTAGAGAGATTTTCCCCAAAGATTCTAAGATATCACCAAGTATAAAGCAGACGCCATGGAATCTGTGCTTCTGTTTAACAAGTGATGTCATGCTGGATAGAATACAACTGGTCTAAAAATAGGATAAATAAGGGACTTCTAGAATCATGTTTGGCACACAAATAACCCAATCCAGAGTACACAGAATACTGGAATGCATGGAGATACCACAAAAATCTTATAGCAGAACATCTGCAGCAAGCACAGACAAGGTGGTAAACAAAAATCCAAAATATCTTAATTTTATCCTCTATGAAAGCATTAAGCCTCTGCTACTTAGTTGTTCAGGTTTTTAAGAGTTAAGACATGGCCAAAGAGTTAATATTGTACTCTTCAAGCAAAGCTTTTGAAGAACTGGAGGTAAAAAGCACGTTGCCTGCTGCCACCTGGTGGCAGAACCATACATTTAACCAAGACTGGCAACGTCTGAAGACGGGCCCTTGGAGAAATAGCCATTAAGCAACTTGGAAAAAGTCACTTGAAATCTTTATGACTCTGCTCCTTTTAAAAAAGGATTATTACGTAAATTATCATGTTAATGCAAGCAATCAAATACAAGAACTTTCAAAGGTATAAAATAGTAAATGTCCTTGGGCATGCTAAGTTGGCTTCAGTCGTGTCTGATTCTTTGCGACCCTATGGACTGTAGCCTGCCAGGCTCCTCTGTCCATGGGATTCTCCAGGCAAGAATAATGGAGTGGGCTGCCATTCTCTTCTCCAAGGGACCTTCCCGACCCAGGGATCGAACCCCAGGCTCCTGCATTGCAGGCAGATTCTTTACCACGTGAGCCACCAGGGAAGCTTCCCCCTGCCCCCCCAAATATTCTTATAGCTCAGCAAACATTCTGCCATTTAGTAGTGAGGACCAAACTTATTTTTCCAGGGTTATTCTTATTTTCTCTTGATTACGATTGTGGGCTGGTAGCTTGTGAACATGTGGCAGCTAACTGGAAACGTGGTCAATGAAAGAGGTCTTGGCCATCTTCCCTTTCATCTCTTCCATTTTCTTTAGGGTGAAGCTACCTCTTTGAATCAGGACAGGCTATTGGGAAGGTGTCAGATGACTGGAACTCTTGGGAAAGATAGATCTCACCAGTAGCTGGAGAATCTGGTTATCTACATGGTGAGAATTAAAAGGTTCTATAAGGTCTGCTGTCTTCTCAATATCTTCTCCAGCACTCTGAAATGTGGATGGAATAGGGGTGTCCTGAGTTGACCTGGCACCATTTCCCTGTTAAAAGAATGAGAGGCCCAAAATGGAGTCACTTGTGCTAAAAGGATGACTTAATACCTGACCTTATGGCAGTCACAATCTTCTCCAAGAAGGTAATCCTAACTGGTCAGTGTGAAATTTTCTGGTCAGCACCAATGAGGTAAACCTTTCCATCCCTGAAAGGAAGATGAAGTAACCAGGCACATAGATCCCCTCATCCACTATTGATACGCTACCTAAGTTTGAAATAATCTTTGTCTTTGACTTCATGATCTTACCTTTAAAAATCTCTCCCTTTTTATAGCCTTTTGGAGCTCCCCTCTACTTGCTAAACAGGATGCTGCCCAATTCATGAATTATTCAATAAAGCTAATTAGGTCTTTTAACATTTACTCAGTTGGAGCAACATCCCTGAGATTCTTTTAGTTTTCCCATCTCTGTGTTGACTTCATTATCAAGCTGGGTAACAAGAAGGCTCCAACAGTTTCAGGCCTCACAAGAAATTCAGAAGATAAGTAAACTGCTTCAGTCCTATTATTCCAAGCAATTCAGCCCAATAAACTATCCACTGTTAAGAGCAGAACTTTGGGTTTCAGAATGGGACTTACTATTTGAATTAAGACAATCCTTGAAGAGGGAAGTGAAGTCAGCTTCCTTCAAGACATGTGGAATGAAGGGGTCTAAGTGAATGTAAATAATCATATGAATAAAATCCTGGTTGTGTTCTATTAACGTGAGAGAGGGGAAGTGGACGTTGAGTAGGCAACCAACAACATTCTCTTAGACCAGGGATTGATTTAGCACAATACAATACACATTGATAACACTCAAATGAAATTCAACTACTGTCAGGGAATCAATAACCAATAGTGAGGATCATATCAAACAGGAATAAAATAACCACTCAGCTCTAAGCAATGTGGCCATGCAAAAATATAAACCTAGTGTTACCAGACCTTCAACATTTTCAAGAGAAGTTGGTAATCTATCTATATATTTTTTGGAAGTGCCATGTGACATATGAGATCTTAGTCCCCTGATTAGGGATTGAACCCCATATAGCCTGCATTAGAAGCATGGAGTCTTAACCACTGGACTGCCAGGGAAGTCCTAAAATATCTTAAAAGGTAGTCAATAGTGTCCAAAATAAACAAAGCATATTTGTCGGCCAAGTACAGCCTGTGAACTTCAAGCTTTCAAACTTTGGGCTAGAATCATTGCATGCCATTCAGTGGTTCTGTGCATGCAAGCTTTGCCAAGAGCAAAGCAGTCAAAGGAGGGAGGTCAGAGTCATTTCATACATTGCTTTCCCTGACAGGTCCCCAAACATGGTTCTCAGGCTTCTGCTTCACCCAATGAGTTCATTTGGAGTCAGCTGCCTCTTTACCTCTAGTATCAGGAAACATGAACGCTTGTTTCCCACTGTTTACATTCTGACTTTACTGGGTAGTTTTTCATAACTCTGTGAGGCATACAGCTTTTCATCAATAAATTAGTTTGATTACCTTCCTATCATTAAAACACATTCAGTTTAATTGAGTGGAAAATAGAAGTTTGTTATTAACTAAAATCAATGCTTAATTAGCTTAAAATAGATGAGTGTTAAGATCAGAAATAACCTATTGATTTATGTTTATCTATTCCCTGGTCAATCTTGTTGAAAAGATACACAAAGGTAGTAACTGTCAATCCCGTTTGCACATTAGAATCTAGTGGGGTTGGAGGAGGGCTGGAGAAATGCTTTTTTATAAAATGTGGATGCTCAGGCCCTAGACAAGAGGGACCAAAACTCCCCAAGTGATTTTAATGTGTAGACAGAGCTGTCATACATTTCCCTGTAATAGTTACAACCTTCTAAACTTACCGAATCTCTTGGGTTTTCTCCAGAATCTTACATTTCAACAAGAAGGGGCTCACAGTAATATTTTTCCGAGGTGTCTGAAAGTTAGTCCTTTCCCCTGGGGATTGACGGGGCCATCAGCCAATCGCCAGTCTGAGGAGAACCAATAATAGGTAACAGAACAATAGGCACTGTAAATAAAAGGTACTCAGCAAAAAAAAAAAAAAAAAGGTTTAAGGGCTTCCCTGGGGCTCAGCTGGTAAAGAATCCGCCTGCAATGAGGGAGACTTGGGTTCGATCCCTGGGTTGGGACGATCCCCTGGAGAAGGGAACGGTTACCCACTCCAGTATTTTGGCCTGGAGAATTCCATAGATAGTATAGTTCATGGGGTCGAAAAGGGTCGGACACGACTGAGCGATTTTCACTTTTCAAAGTAAAAAAAAAAACCAGGTCGCAGCAGCAATGGTTAACAAACGGGAAAAAAATCTGGGACATTTCCTCTCACGTCAGCGAGGCCTGGACTTCGCGGCCGCCGGGTGCCCAAGAGCTGCTAAACGGGGCTTACTTCCGGAGGCGGGGCACCCTCGCTGCGCGTCACTTCCGCCCGGTTTGAGTCTTGGCCTTCACGCTGCCAGATTGAAGCGACTTCCTCTTTTCTTTCCCTTCTTCCTCCCCTTGGCCCCGCCTCCCGGAAGCTTCGCTGGGTCTTCACTTGTGGGGTAGGGGTGAGAGGTGGGAGGGCTACGCGGACGTTGGTGAATAACTGCCCCGAGTTCCACTACCGGGCGGCGCAAGTTGGAAGAACTCAGGTCAGATCTCGGCCAAGGGCGGGACGGGACTCAGCGGGCAACGGGAATCTCCACCCTCTTCCGCTCCAAGGCCTCCTCCTCCCGGGCCTGTAATTGGCCTCTCCGAAGGCTGGGGCCCTTGGCCCCTCTGGAGTCGGATTGAGGCCATTGTCCTCCACCTCTCTCTCTCAGGCGAGGTCCCAGGCTGGTTGCTGCCACCGATACCCTTCTCCTGGAGCTTCAGTTGGAAGCAGTTGTGTGTCGTCTCGGTGATGACAGGGCTGATACCTTCAGTAGCAAAGTGCTTTAGCATCCATTCCGCTTCTTTTGAGCTCCGAAACCGTGGGAGGCGAGTAGAGCAGAGAGAGTATTTGATCATTTGCATTGTGCATATGAAGAATTCCCTTCCAAGGCAGCGTGGCTCTCTAAGAGTTAGTACTGGGATTCACACCCAGATCTAGCTTCTCTAGGGTGACAAAATTCGTGAGGAGAGCGTTTAGAAATAAAGAAACTTTAAATATAAAAAGGAGAGTTAGCATTTCTGAGAGCATGCTTCGTGTTCGGCCTTATGCTAGTCTTTCTGTACTAATTCATTCCTTATGAGGAGCATAGGAAGCATATACTGTTGTTATTTCTGCTTTAGGAAATTGAAGCTCAGAGATGATATAGGGCTTGTTCAGTGTTAATAATTAAGTAGACATCTCCCAGGTCCCTTCCAGCTCTCTGATTCTCCCAACAACTATAGAATTAACTGATTTTCTGTATTTCTAAATCAAACTATATTTTCAGATGTTGGCATTTCAGGAAATGAGATGCCTGAAAAATTTCTAAGTCTCTTCATCCTTTGCCCATTGTCTTGTATTTTAATAGCATCCTATTTAGAACTTTGTAGTTCTGTAAATTCAGTTGCGACTCTTACTTCGCAATTTACTTTTCTCTTTCCAAGAGGAACTTGAGGATCGTGTAGCTAAGTGTGGAATTAATGGACCTGGGTTAAAGGATTGACAGGAAAAGTTGCTAGCTTTTACATCATAGATGGACTCTAGTTGCTCTCCTTGCCTATCTTACCTAAGACTTTTTTTTTCTCTCCAGGAAAACAGCTATCATCTTGTGCCAATATGTCAGGAATTGGAAATAAAAGAGCAGCTGGAGAGCCTGGCACATCTGTGCCTCCAGAGAAGAAGACAGCTGTCGAAGATTCAGGGACCACAGTGGAAACAATTAAACTTGGGGGTGTCTCTTCAACGGTACGTGGAAATAATGCTATGAGAGTGTGCTTTTCTTCTGTCATTTGCAACCTGGAAGTAATAATTATGGAAGCCTTTTGGAGTAAGGGAAGTTGATTTGAAGAGGGAGATAAAACAGCCAAAAGTAGATGAAATGATGTGTTGCTCATTTCTGAAAAAGAAATATAATGACATTTGATCTTTATTTTTAAAGGTATATTCATATTCTTTGAAGAGTCTGGTGCCAGATTCAGCATTGATTATAGTTATTTAGCAGTGGGAAGCTATACACTGATTTTTCATTCATTGGAAACTAAGGGGCCAGGTACTAAGAGGCAGTGTAGCAAAATCAGTCATTAAGAGAGTGCCTTCTTATTTCCTTGTCTGTAAAATGTAATCATAGTATCTACTTCGTTGGGGTTTTGAGAGGAGGAAATGAAAGGGTTCCTGTTAAGGAACATTACTTTTTAACATGGTAAGTACTTAGTATATGTGATCTATTAATAGTTTTTATTGGGCTAGATATTGTGTCTATAATAGTGAGTAAAATAGATATCATCCTTATTGTTATGGAGTTGTCAATTTTGTTAGACAATTATACACCAAAAACTTATAGTAATGTTATATGTCTAATAAACCCCATAAACTCACTGTAATAGGTAGGGAATCTGTATTTTGGAACTTACCATAGGGATATGGTGTAAAAATGCTTTACATTTGTATAGCCTACAAAACCATATCTACTTTTTGAAATTGAGGATCAGAGAGTAATAGGAACATTCAGAGTAAATTGTGGATGAAGTATTATTTCTGGGTTTGCTGTCTGGGATTCATCAGCCTCTTGTTGCCAGCAGGTGATTTTGTCTTGGCACTGTCTCACGTCATGCATCCCAGGGACATTTTTTCATTCAATAAACATAAATATTTGTTGAGCATCTGTTATTTGCCAGACACTGTGCTTTACACTAAGGACAGCTCCTGGACTTGAGTTTGTAGGTTGGCACTGAGAAAAGAACAGACTGTTATGATAGAGTGGGAAATGTGCTCTTCCCAGAGTTAACTGCATATGCTAAGGGATGCACAAACAGGCATGCCAGTTTGGACTTTATCCAGAAGGCAGTAAGGGGCCACTGGAAGGTTTTAAGCAGGGAAGTAACATGCTCTGACTTAGGTTTTGAGAAAAGACCATAAGGGAGCTAAGTTTATAAGCAGGAGTTCAGTTAACAGAATTGTTGCCCCATTCCTTGCCCCTCTTCTCCCTCCTATTCTTCTCTAAGGGTGGGGAGCTGGGGTACGTATCCACTGATTCCTGAGCCAGCTGGTTGACAGTTGCCCTTGAAGGCAATAACTTCTCTTCTGCACTTCAAGGTTTCTGTTGTAAACCAGCTGAGATTGTGGAAGAAAAAACTTTGAGACTGCATGGTATGCTTCAAGTGGGAACATTGGTGGTGTGACTGGAGCTGTCCACCAGAGCTGTGCTGAAGTCTGGCATGGGATGAAAAAGAGTCTGCTATATGTAGAAGACTGTTGCAATAACCTTGATGAAGGATCATGGTGGCTCAGGCTATTGTGAGGATAGTGTCAGCAAGATTTGTTTGTGGATTGGATGAAGGGTATGAAAGAAAGGAGGCAAGATGAGCCCAGGATTTTAGAAGTATGGAGTTTTCACATGAGCTAGGGACGTATATGAAAGGAGCACATTTTGGGGAGCTGTGGGGGAGGAATCATAAGTTTGATATTGGACTATAAGTCTGAGGTATTTATTAGACCTATGAGTGGACAGGTAATTGGATGAGGTGATCTGCAGTCTGTGGAGAGGTCTGGGCTAACGTTGAACATTTCTGAAGCATTGTAGATGGAATTTAAATCTATGAGACTGTAGGCTCTCCTGTAAGGAATGAGCATAGATAAAGAAGTCTGAGAACAGGGCCCTGGAGCAGCAACACTTCATGTCAAGGAGATGAAAAGAGGCCAACCAAAGAGGGGCCACTGAGGGAGGAGGAGAACGAGAGAGGGTGGGGTCCCAGAGACCGAGGGAAGAGAGAGTTTCAAGAAGGAGTTGATCAGGGGCTCCTGATGGGTTGAGAACGGGGAGGACTGAGATTAGATTTAGTAATAGAAATTGCACTGGAGACTTGACAAGAACTGCATTGGTGGAGTGGTGGCCATGGCAGCGTGATTACCGTGAGCTTAAGAGCGTGTGTGAGGAGAAGAATTAGCGGAAAGAGGTAGAGATGTTGCTTTGGAGGAGTGTTGATGTAAAGTAGAACCAAGAAAATGGGGCCTCAGCCCGAGGGAAATTGGAGGTTGAGGGAAGTTTTTGTTTTTTGTGTTTTTAAAGTAGGAGATATGGCATTTTTATTGATTGATGAAATGATTTGATAGGATAAATTTGATCCTGGAGGAGAGCATGGCCGCCCACTCCACTATTCCTGCCTGGAGAATCCCCATGGACAGAGGAACCTGGCGGGCTCCAGTCCATGGGGTCACAAAGAGTCGGACACAACTGAGCGACTAAGCATAAACTTGATGATGTAGGAGAAAGAGAGAGCAGTTACTGGTTCTGTTCTGTCTCTTGAACAGAAAAGAGAATGTGATATAATGCATAAGCGGGGGATGGGGCCTTAACTAGGAGAGGAACACAAGGGTTGCGGGCTCAGATATAAGCAGGTCAGTAGTCGGGGTGTGGGTGATAGATGTGGACATGCTTTTCTGATTGCTTCTGTTTTTTTTCAGTGAAATCAGAAGCAAGACTCATCTGAGAGTGAGGATGGGGGAGAAAGTTTTGGAGGTGTGAAGAGACAGGAGAAGGTACGAAATAGTCATCTTGAAGAGAGAATGGACTAGAGAGATGGGATAGCGTTGCTGGGCAGCACTGAGAACCCACTTGAGTCTGTGACTTGAGTTTAAACTGAGGCCAGTCAGCATGGTGCTTTATGTTTTTTTTTTTAGTCACATTCAGCTTCATGGATATAGGCGGAGAATTGGACGTTACCAAGGTTGGGGTTTTTAGCAGGCACATATAGAATAAGGGAGGAGCAGGTTATAAAACAGTGTGACCAGTTATGGCATTTAAGTTTGATTAAGAAGGAAGCAAGGAAGTAAGAGGAGTGAAGGATGTAGGTTTAGGATGAAGGCGTAGGATCATTGGAGTATAGATCCTGGAGTTGCTGAACAATGGATGGAATCGGAAACCTAGAGAGAGTGAGCTGCAAAATTGTGGAGAATGAGGTGTTGGAAATTGAGTTTATAGAGAACATCCAAGTATAGCTAAGTCTAAGTCTAAGACTAACTGGGAGTTTGGTGGCTGAGGGAGCTAAAGGACAAGATCATTGGAGGAGAGGAGGTCAAGGTACAGGATCTGAGATACAAGAAAGATCATCCATATGGGAATTAAAATTGTTAATAAGAAGTACAGCATGAGTAGTATTGGAGAGAGTGATGACATGCCAGGTGCTCAATCTTCAGGAAATGTGGAGAAGTGACGTGGGCATTTGTAGATGAGTGCAGCAAAGCAGAGTGGTGGGTGATCCAGACCAGTGGCATGATCTGCAAAGCTCGGAGGTTTTAGGGAGCAAATAGATAGTGGCTTAGAAGTGGCTGTGGAGAATAAGGAGGACACCTGCCTGTCTCCAGGCCCAGGGCTTCAAAGGGTGTGGGAGAGAAACAGCCCCCACTGGAGAAGCCTGTAGGGAAACAGTGTTCTCATCCAGGTTTCAGGTGGAGTAAGACGGGGAAGGTGATGCTCAGAAAAGAAAAGTTAAAGATGTCATTTATTAATAGTATGCATAAGCTGGTACAGTTGGAAAACTTGACGGTTTTGGTATATCAAGAATGTTTAATCAGATAGAAGAGAGAAAATTAAAGGGAAACAAAAAATTGGTGCTCTAATAAATGATTCTTACTTTAAAATAGTCATTCATTTCTAGGTAGAGTTAAAGTGTAATCCTTTCAACATGCTGTTTCTTTGCCTTAGGTTCTCCCTCCCTACTCGCCACCCCCCCACCCCCCCACCAGCTTCTCCTCAGAGAGAGGTTAAAGTTACTGAGACGGGTACACTGTTATTGATGGAGTGACATTTTTGCAGAAACAATAGAGAACATGATCCTGAGCACAAGTTGAGGTTTTAGAGTGTGGGCATAGGTTGGCAAACTGAATGGATCTAGGAGATGGGGAATTGAAGAACTTTCCATCTGATGGCTTCTATTTTTTCTTTAAAATAGGAAGCAAAGTCACCTGCTTAGTGTGATTTGAGAGCAGATGGGGTGTCATAGTTTGACTCTTAGGAGCTAGCTCACTTGTTAAAGAAAGAAACATTTTTGGACAAATGATGAAATCTGTTCAGGTTAGAACTCCCTTTATAAAGGTGCCAGTCTCCCTAGTTTAATGACCTTATCTAGAAGTCTCATCATGTTGGGTGTAGGAATGGAGGAGTCCAATATGTGGATTGATTCAGACTGGAGTTTGTGTGCAGAAATAGAATAAAAAGACAAAAGGTCGAGCACTTGAGGAGCCAAGTAAGCTGAAGTATGAAGGAATATACAATAGGGTATAATTAAGGTATAGAAGATAGTGGAGACCGAGGAGAAAGGAGAAAACTCAATATTTTGGAGGTCCAGATGAAGACTAATATATTAGGATAACAGCATGAGATATCTGGAAAGATATCAGGGAATGGAAGATTCAGGGAATGGGAAGTTGGAATTTAAGATTTCAGATGTGGCACAGTTCCAGATATGACAGAAATATAGGCTATGGCTTTTGAAATGTCTGGCACAGTGACGGAGGTAATCATTGAAGTTAAGGAATTCAAAATGCTAACAGTATAGATGCTAGAGGATTAGATGGTTCGTGCACTTGTGTACATGTCCAAATGTGTATTGAAGTCACTAGATGTATTGACAGGGACTGGGATACAGAAGAACTTGGTTGACGAAGTCTTGAATGAATGAAGGGCAGTCCTTAGGAGACAGATAACTGATTGGGGTAGAAGGTGATCTGGCTGGATGGTGGAGCCTCCCAGTAGCAGTATTTTGTTTGTGTACCTTTGACTAGAACAGTGAACTGAGGTCAAGATTCTAGTGTATTTGCGTATGTCATTTTTTCCTCCAGTCATAACAGACATGTATTTATTTCTTCTGCTGTTACTTCTTATCCACTTATTAGCCCTTGTTGAGTTTAACAGCTGATATGTTTAATTTCTTAATGGAGATTAATAAGATTGGTTTCCTGGGGCAGGAGGAGTTAGACATTCGAACACTGCAAACCAAAAATCGCAAACTGGCAGAAATGCTGGATCAACGGCAGGCCATCGAAGATGAACTCCGTGAACATATTGAAAAACTGGAACGAAGACAGGCCACTGATGATGCCTCACTATTGATTGTCAATCGGTACTGGAGTCAGGTAGTAGCTTGTTAATTTACTCAGGTTTTGGTTTGAGCATTGTAGTTCTCCTTAGCCTTCTCTTTATTTCCAAAGTTGCTTCCTTTTGTATCTTCATAACTGTACCTCCTCTGCTCTAGTTTGATGAAAACATCCGTATCATCCTTAAGCGTTATGACCTGGAGCAAGGTTTGGGAGACCTACTCACAGAGAGAAAAGCCCTTGTTGTGCCCGAGCCAGAACCAGACTCTGATAGCAATCAAGAACGGAAAGATGACCGAGAGAGAGGTGAGTGTTCGTGACAAGTTTACCGCGGCATGCTTTCTGGGTGTTTGAAGTAGGGCTTCGCTTTGAGGCTCTCCGTCTGAGGGGAAAAAGTAGATTTTGATATTTGCAGTTTTATAATTTTAGGGGCTTCTTTTTTCCCCCTGTGTCCTCAGGGGAAGGGCAAGAGCCAGCTTTCTCTTTCCTTGCTACTTTGGCCAGCAGTTCCAGTGAAGAGATGGAATCTCAGCTGCAGGAGCGCGTGGAATCCTCCCGCCGAGCGGTGTCCCAGATTGTGACTGTCTATGATAAACTGCAAGAAAAGGTGGAGCTCTTATCACGGAAGCTCAGCAGTGGAGGTGAGGCAAAACCCAGGAGACGGGGAGCAGAGGGGGAGGAATAGTCACTCACCTTTGTGTGTGAGTTTGTAGTTTTCAGACTTACACATTATTATTGTTTTCAAACTTATATCTTTATTTTTAATTAAATTTCTTGAAGTCAGTTTTAATCTGTTCTTGTTTTTTGTTTTTCTGTTTTCTCTTGTTATTTTCAAACAGAGTTGGCTCAGGTTTTAGAATTGTTAGATCTCAGTGTTTAAAAAGATAAAACAAAATATATGAATGGAAAAGTGTCTATTTGAAATAAACCTTCTATTTTCTGTTACTATTCAGAGTTAATGCAGAAACTTATATTTGTATAGTGTAGTTAAGTACTTGTGTAGCTAGGTTGCGTCTTATTAAATGTCCTGACTTCATGCTTTAAATCCATGGGGTCGCTAAGAGTCGAGCACGACTGAGCGACTTCACTTTCACTTTTCACTTTCATGCACTGGAGAAGGCAATGGCAACCCACTCCAGTGTTCTTGCCTGGAGAATCCCAGGGACAGGGGAGCCTGGTGGGCTGCCGTCTATGGGGTCGCACAGAGTTGGACACGACTGAAGCGACTTAGCAGCAGCAGCAGCAGCATGCTTTAAATAATAATCATGGTCTAGTTGTAATATTTTAATTTCTCTGATTGTCATTAAGATGTTTAACCTTTCATTTCTGAGAGAGATTTCAAATATAATGGAGGTTGAATCACTGGCTGGGAAAAATAAGAATTTTCTTACTCTGTACTTTTGTTTTTAAAGATATTTAGGCCAAGTTAATAAAATTAGAAGGAGAGGCATATTAAGGACTTGGTAAAATTCTGTGGCCAAAAGTTTCTTTTGTTTTTCTAATAGTGTGTTTGTGTGTTTCTATATTTTATTACTTATAATGGATACTTGCTTCAGAAATCACAGAAGTCCTCCCATCTTACTTTTCCAGAGATAGCCATTGTAAATAGTATTATTTGTGTCCTCCCAGACTTTTGTGTTCATATATTATATCTACTTTGTGTGTTCCCAGCTATGTCTCTTGGTGCACTGTCTTGCCTTACTCTTTGTTTCTCCGTTTTCTTGCCCTGTTTCTGGTGTCCGGTTGGAGCTTGTATAATGGTGAATGAATGGCTATAAATCTTCCCTGTCATCTAATGTAAGCTGAGCTGTCTGTCACTTCTTTCTCCCTTAGCTCTACTTGAATAGTTAGAAGGTATTATTAAACAATATGCACATGGATATACCATGTGTATTACATGTATTATAGTATATCCATGTGCATATTATATCAGACAGAATGCCATAGGCAGAGACTGTGTCATTGATAAACTTGATTTTATAAATGAATATCAAGAAAGGAATTACTGTGTTTAAAAAGGAACTAAAAAGAGTAGTGCATTAAATGGTACTTTAAAATTATTCCTTTTAATGGCATGCATTTTAAGGTAGAGGTCAAGTTAAAAAGTAAAAACATTTCTTACAAGTTACAAACTGCTAAGCTGCTATTATTTATAACATAAAAGATGGTTGCCATCGATTAGCTGAATGTTCTAAGAGACAGAGATGTGTGAAGTGTGAATTGTAGCATCAACTCTAACTTTTGGCGGTTCATTTTCCCCTCATATTTATTTGGCCCTTGATTCAAAAGAATTGCATTTATCAGCTTGTTTATTAATTCACTAAATATTTATTGAGCTCTTATTATATTCTGGGCCCTGTTCTCAATATCTTAGGCTATTAAGAGGACTAAATTCAGCCCCAAGTTCTTACCTTAGGTTTTGAATCAGAATCACTCTTGAGAGTTTTTGGAGCATACCGTTTTTTGGCCCTGCCCATGTGTATTCTTATTTAGTAGGTATAGGATGAGTCCTAGGTAAGTATCTAATTTTAAAGGTTCTCCAGGTGATGCTGATGGGTAATCTTGGTTGAAAACCATGAAAACCACCACATGACTGACCTGTGTTACATTTCTAAGAGTGATGCCAGTTTTACTTCCTGATAACTGTCTTTAGGGTCAGCATATCACCTGAGAGTATCAGAACAGTATCACCTGAGAGGATTTCAGCTATAGTATTTATGACTCTAATTTTAAACCTACTAATTTGGTATGTTAAGTTCTATAGGTGTACTACCTTCTTTGTAAATAACAGTATACATTTCAATTCTTGAGCCTCCGGAGTACATCTAGTGTAGTATTCCAGAATATAATAAGTAATCCTATGCTCTTGTCTTTGTTCTTCATGATTTTATAGATGCCCATTTGAACAGTGAAATTGCTGCTGTCTGCTCTGCCTTTCCCTTCTCTGCCAATAGAGTGTCTTCATGTTGCTGTTAGTGAATACTAGGAATTTGTGATAGCCTTAGAAAATAGAACTTTGTTACTATTAAGTCTGAGACTGATTAGAGATGCTCTGTCTTGTCTACAAGTCTAAAATGCAGTTTTTGGGGGTGACCGTTCCTTATCTGAATAGAGTTATAGGACCCCCTCCATTTTTTTTCGCAAGGCATTTTGGTCTCATAGAAAGGGACGGGCGTTAGGTGACCTTGCCTCTGTCTCCCTCTGCAGAAGCACAAGGTTGACTGATTTTCTTAAGCAAGGGCTTTAATAAGGACTAAGCCCTCTAAGCAAGCCTTATCTGTCATGGGAAGATTTTAAAAGCCAACTATTTCTTGAAGTTTTCAGGAAAGTGAAGTGAGCTCACACATGAATGCTTTGGCGGGATAGACAGTTGTAAAATGTGACACCAGAGCTGCTAAACTAAAGTACAGCTCTTCTCCTCAGACAATCTGATGGTGGAGGAAGCAGTGCACGAGCTGAATTCCTTCCTTGCGCAAGAGAACACGAGGCTCCAAGAACTGACCGACCTCCTTCAGGAGAAGCACTGCACCATGTCTCAGGAGGTACCTGACCAGAAAGGAGGCGGTTTCCAGTGGGTTCTGCCAGGCGTTGACTCAGAGCACTGAGTGCTTTAAAGGTCGTCTTAGTGTTCTGAAGGGCAGGTTAAAGCAACCAACTCTGAGAAATCAAAACCTGAGGAAAGGTTTAAGGGAAAGAAGGAATCGAATGTTTCTCCTTGACTTTGTTTAAATAGACGTCATAGGATTTTAGTTTTTAGGAAGAATTGCCGTCATGAAGTTTTGCAGAACGACACACCAAACCCCCAAGTATTAAATTGGTCCAAGCGGCCGTGTACAGTGTTACTGAGGAATGGGCTGGTGAAATTTATCTCAGGAAGGAACAGTAGGAAATACTGCATTTATGACGACCTCCAAACTTGAGGAATGTGGAGTTTTAGTCCAAACTTGGACACACATAGTGCCATAAGCAAACTGTGTCAAGATTTGGGTGTTTATTTATATAAAATGACTGAGACGAAGTGGTGATCAGCCTTGTGCTGAAATTTGACCTGCCTTAGTTGAGCCACCCAACTCTTGTGCTTTTAAGTTAATAGTTGCCATGTAGGTAGTGCCTGGCATTTAAGTACTTTATGAGTATTATCTCCATGGTCAAATAACTCTCATCTTACTGCTAAGGAAACACTTGCAGAGAAATTGGGGACTGGTCTGAGGGCATACAGCCAGAAAGTGCTTGAACTGTGTGATTCAGGTGTCAGTCTGTTTAACTTTAAAGCCCATGTTCTTCATTATACCCTGTTTCGGAAACTCCAGTGCCAAGGTGCACGCTGGGCTGGTTGCATGGGAATTATCCAGGAAGTTTAATAATACTTCTTATCAGCCTCAAAGGGGTTATAGTATAGTGGTCCTTATAAAGAAATTGGATTGTAGTAAAAAAAAAATAGTACAACTTTTATGTTTTAAGGTATAAACTGGGTGCTGCCAAGATGAGACGGTCTTCCTTTACCAGCCCTCTCCCAAATCTTAGCATTGCTAAGCTGGAGAGGCACAGTGCTTTGCTCAGCTGACCTGATGTCCATGATGGGTCTCATGGCTGGCTGTTGATTCTGCCTGTCAGCTAAGAACTCTCGTCAGCTAAGACTCCAGTTGTCCACATGGACTTCTTATGTGGCAACTGGCTTCTCCTGAGAGGAAGAGAATTAGTGTTTCAAGAATACCAGGCTGAATCTGCATGGCCTTTCAGACATCTTGAAGTTATGTAGCATCATTTCCACTGGGTCACCAAAGTTGACCCAGATTCAACAGGTGGGGACATTGACCTCACCTGCTGTTGGGAGGACTGTCAAAGAATTTTGGGGCCATATTTTAAAACTAACACAAAGGATATGTATAGATTGATGTGCACATGTGTGAGTTTGGTGATGAGAGTATTAAACAGCATTAGCTATGTATAGCTCCTAAATAATCAGAGAACAACATAGATTTTTGTATCTTTATAGCATCTAATTCTAGATTGCCCTGTGGGGTCAGCTTGAAAAAGAGAATGGAAGTTTTCCATTTGTGGAAAGGATTATCATTTGTGGGAATGTGGGAGGGAAGGTTGGGGGTAAAGATAACTGTCTTTTCTAAATAAATCTTTGAATTTTTATCTCCTAGAATATTTGTCTGGTAAAATCAAGGATGTTATCTTTTACCTCTTAAAAAACACATATTTTCTGATGGGTTTGTGGTCTGTATAGGGAAATGGTGCTTCTCAGAGGTAGAAAAATCACTAATCTTAGGTAGTCTTTTCCTTGTGAGAGTTCTTAGAGACTTCTACAGTTTTCCTGATTGTGACTGATCCAGAACTGTTGAAAGAACCTGTGATTTCAGTTTTATGTTCATATGTTAGCAAGAAAGTGAAGTATCTCTTAAATCTTTTCTATAATGATACAGTAAATGGTTAATTCTGTGGGATTTGGAATCTAAGGCATTCCTTTTCTAACTTGGTCTTATTTTTGGTATATTTTACTGAACACCTGTCTTTGGGATGTAGTTTTCCAAGTTGCAGAGTAAAGTGGAGACAGCTGAGTCACGAGTGTCTGTCCTGGAGTCCATGATCGATGACCTGCAATGGGATATTGACAAAATTCGAAAGCGGGAGCAGCGACTTAACCGACACTTAGCAGAAGTTTTAGAACGGGCAAGTGCTGTTTTATTTATAGTTTGAAGACTGGAGTCATTTTAAGGAGTCTACTCAGAAGGGATGGGCTTGGATAATATTGATAGTACTTGAGGACGAACAGTCTCTTTTGAAAGTACTTTGGTTATCAGACTAAAATTCTAGTGTCTCTCACTAAAGAATCTTTGTCTTCTCCATAGGTAAATTCAAAAGGTTATAAAGTATATGGCGCAGGCAGCAGTCTCTATGGTGGCACAATCACCATCAATGCCCGGAAGGTAAAATCAGCGATGCCCTCAGAATGTTTTTTTGACCTGGCGTGAGGTGTTGCCTTAGGCTTTCCTGCTGTCTCAGTGGTGAAGAATCTGCCTGCCAATGCAGGAGATGTGGGTTTGATCCTCGGGTAGGGAAGATTCCCTGGAGAAGGAAGTGGCATCCCACTCCAGTATTCTTGCTTGGAAAATCCCTTGGACAGGGGAACCTAGAAAGCTATAGTCCAGGAGGTGGAAAAAGAGGCAGACACTACTTAGCATCTCAACAACAACAACAGCAGCAGGTGTTGTGTTAGTTAGGTGCTTAGAATTGTGTTCACAAGTAACTGGGTTTTTGCTAGAAGAGTGGATCAGTGGAGATGGAAGCTTACGAATGGGAATGATTTAGAAATTCCTTTTCTTTAGTCTCATTTTGCTATTTCCTCCTTTTCTCCAGTTTGAGGAAATGAATGCGGAGCTTGAGGAGAACAAAGAGTTGGCTCAGAACCGTCACTGTGAGCTGGAGAAACTTCGGCAAGACTTTGAGGAGGTCACTTCACAAAATGAAAAACTAAAGGTAGGAGACACAGTTCTGAGGGGCAGTAAGATAAAACTTCTTGCTGATCAACTCACATGTATGAAGCGTAACATAAAGCATCAAGGGAAGAGAAAAATATAAGTTTCGTTGCTGTATCTGTCTATTCAGTTATATGTTTACTTAATATTTATACCCTGCCTTGTTCTGAAAAGGATTTAAAGCAGCCTTCAAAGGTACATTGACTAAATCAAAGTGCTCTAATGTAGGACCTATTGAGAAAAATGAGGAGTAGGGTAAACTAGGATGACGATCCAAAATGGATTTTTAAAATGGGGCTTGTATACAAGACGTTATGCAAAAAGCTTGTATGTACAGTAGGTAGGCCACTCCCATGTCAGTGTCTGCCAGTTTGTACCACAGGATTCATCCCTGCAGTTTCTAATTGCCAAAACAGAGAAGGAATTCTGGTCAGTGATCCTGACCACAGGATCAGATGGTCAGTTGATTTTCACACCTGCCCATTAGAATTTTCTCCCATGGTTCTTGGGTAGAAGAAAACGGATTCCTAAAGTCTTCCCACCACGCTTTCAGTCGCAATCACTTGTCTTTTATAATTTGATACGTTTCTAAGTAGATATATGCATAAAGATGTTGGAACTGAAAAAATAAAAACAGAACACAAACAGCCCAAGTTGAATCTGTTGAAGTGTTAAAAAGAATTTAACACTTAGAAGTGTTAGAAGAAGCATAAGTATTTTTGATACAATATCAAAAGTATTTTTCTCTGTGACTATCTGCAAAGAGAACAAATTAGTGACCAATGTCCTCAACTATCTTCTTAAATATCCTGACAAATTTCATAGCGCTCTTCTCTGTCCCTAGATCTGACTGATTTCACAGATCTCTTCTCATGTCCTTGGACACATAGTGTACACCATGTAGCAATTAAAACAGTTCTCAGGTGGAAGAATGCAGGCACCAGGTACCACCTCTTGGAGGATCTAAATTAATTTGGGGTAGATTTTATGTAACCAGAGGAATAGGTAGATATATTTCACAAAATTTGCCTCAGATGCACAGGACATCGGAGAGTTTAAGATTTTTGTTTCCTGGCTAGCATCCTAGATTCTGCTTCTGACTTTTCTTTTCTTTGGGCACTCCTAAGGCGGAATTACGGAGTGCAGTGGAGGAAGTCGTCAAGGAGACTCCAGAATATCGCTGCATGCAGTCACAGTTCTCTGTGCTCTACAATGAGAGTCTGCAGTTGAAAGCGCACTTGGATGAGGCTCGGACCCTGCTTCACGGCACCAGGGGGACCCATCAGCGTCAAGTTGAGCTCATCGAGGTAACAGCCTAGCTTTTCCTTCTGTGTGTAAGTTTTCTCCCTCATACATTTTATAATTTTACTCTCTCTTGCTCAATTAATTTTTTATTCATTCAGCAAACATTTATAGAGTGACTATAGGTCTTTACTCTGGTAGATGGTGGGTATCCTGCCATCAAGGATTATACAGTCAAGTAGGGAGAGTAGTATCCAGTAGAATGCAGTGTGGTGCAATAGAGCATGTCAAAAACATGCAGTGATAAAGGAGACAGCATCTGATTTGACTGTGGACCTGCCCTGATTCCACTTGCCAAAGTGGAATGTGAATCTTAAGGATAAATACAAGTTTACTGGTAGATAGAAAAAGGAAAAAGTTAAAAAAAAATGGTTTAGTGTGGCTGAAGTCTTATGTGCATGGGGGAGAACAGTATATAGAAGCTGCATGGCTATGTACATAATTATTTTTAAGGCAGAAACTTTCATTTATGTGTTCACTTCTGCATTTTCCTTAGCCTTTAAGTTTATGTTTCTGGTAGTTGGTCATTTACTATATGTCTGCCAAATGAATTTAATATATCTTACTTGACTACTGATACACTGTTTAATTCTTTAGTTCTCCAACTAAATTGTAATACTCTCAGAGTTAGGAGCCATTTCCTGTATTTCTTGAGTCTCCTGCCAGTTCTCAAATCAGTATTATGCAGCTCTCTGGTACTCAGTAAGTGTTGATTGAATGTATTGATCGAATTGGAACTAATCCCTCTTTTCTTGATATTTTCTTTTCTTCTTCTTAGACCCTTACAGGTCAAATTTAGGAAACATAGTCCTAGAACATGGTGACATTACCTCATTTTGATAAGAATGTTTGGTTCCTTTTTCTGTGTGTAGCGAGATGAGGTTAGTCTTCATAAGAAGCTGAGGACGGAAGTGATCCAGCTGGAAGATACACTTGCCCAGGTCCGCAAGGAGTATGAGATGCTGAGGATAGAATTCGAGCAGACCCTTGCTGCCAATGAACAAGCAGGTACTGTTACTCTGGCTCCACCCTGTGGCTTTGGTTCACATGCCTTCCTTGAAAGACAGCATGGTCACCAGGATTTTTAGCACTAACTGGAGCTCAGGAGTCCTAAAGAACTTGAATTCTGTCCTTCATTTTGGTGTTCAGACTGGGTGCTTGTGTTTTAACTCAAGTTGGTCAGTTTCGTTTCCATCTTCCGAGAAGGAATCTACCTTTTGACAGTTCTTCCTGTTTCTTGGAAGTCCCTCGTGTTCTGCATTTCCTCGTGCCTTTGCCCTTGTCACAGTTCTTCCTAACTTTGCTGTTGCTGTATTTAAGGCCCCATAAACCGGGAGATGCGCCATCTCATCAGTAGCCTCCAGAATCACAACCACCAGCTGAAAGGGGAGGTCTTAAGGTATAAGCGGAAACTGAGAGAAGCCCAGTCGGACCTGAACAAGGTAATAATCAGGAGGAGCAGGATAAGTATTGTTTACAGCGAAGTCTGCAGAGCTGTCTTGGGGTGAGGAGGACGGTGTGGTCACCACAAGCGTGTGTGCCGCTTTCCTTTCTCTGCCCTCCCAGACTCGGCTGCGCAGTGGCAGCGCCCTCCTGCAGTCTCAGTCCAGTACCGAGGACCCCAAGGACGAGCCTGCAGAGCTAAAACAGGATCCTGAGGACGGAGCCGCCCAGTCTGCTGCGTCCAAGGCATCTCAGGAGGAGGTCAACGAAATTAAGTCCAAACGCGATGAGGAAGAGCGAGAACGAGAAAGGAGGGAGAAAGAGAGGGAGCGAGAAAGAGAGCGGGAGAAGGAGAAGGAGCGAGAACGAGAGAAGCAGAAACTGAAAGAGTCAGAAAAAGAGAGAGAGTCTGCTAAGGAGAAAGAGAAGGGGAAACATGATGATGGAAGGAAGAAGGAAGCGGAAATTATCAAACAGTTGAAGATTGAACTCAAGTAAGAGCAATGTCTTTAGAGTAACTGTTTCTGACTCTAAAGTGAAGGTTAGGACGTTGTTCTTGAATGATGGCATGGCTTATTCAATAACTGTAATATTTTCATTGTAACCAAGTGTACAATTAATGTGGTCTCAGTTCTTGGTCAAGTGTACAACTTCAGCGGCCTGCATGGCTGTTGTATAGTCTGGTTCAGTGATCAGGTCTCAGTAAACCCTGTTGTTGCAGCCTTATTCCTCATGAATCCAAATTAAGGGAAAGGATATCATGATGGAGGTAACACTCATGAGAACTGTTGGAAATTCACTACTGCTGTTTACTAGATTTGGGCAAATTGTTGGCATTCATTATAATTTAAATTATAATAGGTGGAATATGTATGGCTATAACTTGAACAATATTGATCTCTTTGCCTGATGGTTAAGTAATTTGTGTATATATCAGATCATTTTAAGAGATTTCTAGGAAGTCTTCTCCTGCAGACATTGCAACAGTAAGACACCTTTGAGTCAAGAAACACTGCCGTAACCTGACATATCACCCCCTCTTCCTCTTGCGCAACCAGGAACTTTGCTGGTAGAACTGGTTCCTTCTTGCTCTGCATTGGTCATAGTTGAGTCTTTATTGATGTTTGGCTTGGAGGGGCTACTGTCCTCAAAACGTTTGAAAAGGATCGTTAAAAGGTTTGAAAGTTTAGTAAGATAAAGTTTTAGTCTTTAACTGATGATTAATCACTCAACTGTCAAATCTAGGATTAGTGGTATATTTTAAACTGAATTTTCTCCTTTTTTTCCTCTCTTCCTCTTGCTGTCTTTGAGGCAGAGTTGTTGTTTTTGTTGTTTTTCTCAAGTGTGGTATCCAAATCATTTGAGTGATTTATTTAAAGTACATTCCTGGACCCCATCCCAGACCTGCAGAATCTCAGTTTCTAAGAGTGGGGCCCCAGAACTTTGCCTGTTTAAGAAGTGCCACAAGTGCTTATCTTATAACTTTATGGTGGTGAATTTGGTCTGAAGGGAGAAATGACTCCTTTATACAACTTACTTTTCTGTACTTTGAGTGTGTCCAGAAGTCTCTTAATAGTCTTTGCAAAAGTTATGTCTTTTAGATGTGTTGTATAAAGTGTAAAATAGAACTGTTAAGATATTTCGCTCAATTCAAAATTCCCTTGATCTGATGCCCTTTGTTTTCTCATTATACGCTTCCTCTCCACCACCCTCACCCTAGGAAAGCACAGGAGAGCCAGAAGGAGATGAAACTGTTGCTGGATATGTACCGCTCTGCCCCAAAGGAGCAGAGAGACAAGGTTCAGCTGATGGCAGCAGAGAAGAAGTCTAAGGCAGAGGTAACCTGGTCTGCCGTTAACTGTCCTGATCGAAATCTTTTGTGGGATTTTCGTTTACACTTCTGAAGGTTGTGGTTTCTTTATCTTTAAAGTTAGTGTTTAAAACCTGCAGCATTTTCTTCCCTTTTGAAGACCATCTGAAATAGAGATTTCCAGATTTTCCATCAGAAAATTATGGGGAATAGTTTTTAAACTTTTTGCTCCCCTATTTGCCATATAAATCATGGTAATACTGACTTTCTTCTTCTGATTACTTTTTGAAAGAATGCCTTATGCTTTTAAAATTTGGGAGCCTAGAAAAAAAAAGGGTGAAATTACTATTTTAAAGGAAAGTACATCTGCGGTTCTCCAGAATGCTGCTTATAGAAGCATGAGATTTTGGAATGGAGTGGTATTAAAGCAGGGCTGTGATGTAGCGCACTAGTGTATCATTTGTCTCCTTTCACTGTTCTGTAAAGGTTCTTTTGGTGTTTATGGGTCCTCTGTGCACAGATTTAATTGATTTTTGAAATTGTGTGACAGCTTTTTTGTTTCTCTTTTTGTGTGATTCCTTTCCTGCTATAGTTGGAAGATTTAAGACAAAGACTCAAGGATCTGGAGGATAAGGAGAAAAAAGAGAATAAGAAAATGGCTGATGAAGATGCCTTAAGGAAGATCCGGGCAGTAGAGGAGCAGATAGAATATCTCCAGAAGAAGCTGGCCATGGCCAAGCAGGTGGGCGAACTTTCTTTACTTAAGGAGCTTTTTAAAGGAAGTTTTGCTTTTTAAGCAAGTAATTGACAGTGAGATTTGCCCTGTCATTCCAGTTTTGTTTTTTTTTTTGTTATTTTTTTGTTTGTTTGTTTTTGCATTGAAGTCTCTCATCATTTAGTTACTTTGTTTGGTGTATTTGAGAGGAAGGAAATTCACTCTTATTTTCAGATGGATAGCCAGTTGTTCAGAAACTGTTTATTGAGGAATCTGTCTTTTTTCTGCTGATCTGGAATCAGGAGATGTAATGAATATATAAAATTTTAAGTGAAATTTTATGTGAAACTAAGAAATACATGTTCCCCAAATAGTTTACAAATAAATTACTCATGTGTTAACTGTGGTAGTTCCTGAGTCACAGCACTGTAGAGACTTGTCCCCTTCTCAAAGGAACATATATTTCTTTATTTTTAAGTCCCGATGAATTTACTAACATACCAAAAACGGTTAGAACAATCATAAGAGCTGAAGTCACTCAGTCGTGTCCGACTCTTTGCGACCCCATGGGCTGTAGCCCCCCAGGCTCCTCGGTCCAAGGGATTTTCCGGGTGTGAATACTGAAGTGGGTTGCCATTTCCTTCTCCAGGGGATCTTCCCGACCCAGGGATCAAACCCAGGTCTCCCGCATTGTAGGCAGACGCTTTACCGTCTGAGCTACCAGGGAAGCCCTAGATATATCTGCATAAATAGACTGAAGTACACATGGGTGTTTAGTATGTGTGAAAAAAAGAGTTTTAACTCAACAGAATAAAGGAAGATAATTAAACATGGTAGGGCAAAAACATAATAATATTGGAAAGAAGGTGGACATATATTTGAACACTCTACATATTCTAGGATAACTCCCAAATGGAACATATATGTATGTTATATAAATGTAAATATATAAACATATATATATATATGTTATATATAGTGCTAAAGAAATCCATAAAAGAGCCAGAAGAAAACAGATAAGTTTTTTTTTTTTTAATTTGAAGTGGAGAAGACCTTTTTAACTATTAATAATAGCTTAAAAAAAAGAGTGATAATTTTGACTTATGGAAAAAAAATCACAGAAAACTTCTGCGTGGCAGCAAAGCCAAAGGATAAATGACAAACAGGAAAAATATATTTCTAACTCTTCACAAAAAGGCTTATCTTTTTAATATACAAAAAATTTCCCCAAAAATGATAGGGAAGAAAACTCAAAAACCCAATAGAACAGGATATGAATGGGGCTTCCCTGGTGGCTCAGCAGTAAAGAACCTGCCTGGTAATGCAGGAGATGTGGGGTTGATCCCTGCGTTGGGAAAATTCCCTGGAGAAGGAAATGGCCACTTACTCCAGTATTCTTGCCTGAGAAATCCTGTGGACAGAGGAGCCTGATGGGCTATAGTCGGACACAATTTAGCAACTAAACAACAACAACAACAAAGATATGAATAATTCACAGAAAAACAAATGGCTCATAAATGTATGAAAAGATACTCGTAATTTATAATCAGATAAATGTAGACTAAAACTGTTTTTATATATTGTTCTGCACCTATCAGATTGTTATGAAACTTAGATATTTTCAGTATGTTGGAAAGTCTGTAGATTACAGTTAGTATTATAATTGTGGAAAAGTATGAGAAAACATGAGATTGCATGGTGGGAATTTTCTTACCCAACTCCTACTTGATCAGTTTGCTAGATAATGATTTGTGTAATTTTTGTCTGCCTCAGCTCACTTCAAATACAGATCACCTAGTATCAGGCTAATAATCAGTGCCAGTGGTTTCAGATAACAAGGCTTCTTCTGTATTCCTCAGTTCAGTTCAGTCGCTCAGTTGTGTCCGATTCTTTGCGACCCCATTAACTGCAGCATGCCAGTCCTCCCTGTCCATCACTAACTCCCGGAGTCTACCCAAACTCATGTCCATTGAGTCTGTGATGCCATCCAACCATCTCATCCTCTGTTGTCTCCTTCTCCTCCTGCCCTCAATCTTTCCCAGCATCAGGGTCTTCTCAAATGAGTCAGCTTTTTGCATCAGGTGGCCAAAGTATTGGAGTTTCAGCTTCAGCATCAGTCCTTCCAATGCACACCCAAGACTGATCTCCTTTAGGATGGACTGGTTGGATCTCCTTGCAGTCCAAGGGACTCTGAAGAGTCTTCTCCAACACCACAGTTCAAAAGCATCAATTCTTTGGCACTCAGCTTTCTTTATAGTCCAACTCTCACCATACATACATGACTACTGGAAAAACCATGGCCTTGACTAGACGGACCTTTGTTGACAAAGTAATGTCTCTGCTTTTTAACATGCTGTCTGGGTTGGTCTATATTCCAAGTGACTAAGAACTAAGCTTCTTAAAAACTGTCTCTCCCTGTCACTTGGTTATTTCCAGATTAATACTCAGCATGTTTAATTTCCTGTGTGCACTTCTTTGGAGTTAGAAGATTTTATTAAAATGAAGGTTCTTCTTTCTTACTTTAGGAAGAAGAAGCTCTCCTCTCTGAGATGGACGTCACAGGTCAGGCCTTTGAAGATATGCAAGAGCAAAATATCCGTTTGATGCAGCAACTGAGGGAGAAGGATGATGCAAACTTCAAGCTCATGTCAGAGCGTATCAAGTCCAATCAGATCCATAAGCTGCTGAAAGAAGAGAAGGAGGAACTGGCAGACCAAGTTTTGACTCTGAAGACTCAGGTAACTAGAATGAATAAAGCTTTCCAAAATCCTGTTGAAATTGGGCGTTTTCTACGTGAAAATACATATAAAAGAATAATTATTGTGGCACTTTTTATATAGTAGGAAAAAAACCCTAAAAACCAATGTACATGGTTAGTGTATTGGTAAATAAATTATACATCCATACTGAGGAGTACAATGAGCTGTTTAAACAAATGTGAATCTGCCAATATAGAAAATTGTCTAAAATATATCACTAAGGGATTCATTTGTTTATGCATTTTGTGTTAAAAAATGTGTATGTCTTTTGTGTGTGTTAAAACTTCTGGACGGCTGCATGAAAAATGGTAAGAATGGCTATGTGATTACCTCTGAATGTCAGGATGAGAAATTGCCGTAGTCTTGCATGTAATTCAAAAGGTTTATGGATAGAATTAGTATTAGCTCAAGATTTCCAAAGTTTCTTTTATGGACCTGTGGATTAACAGAGCTTAGTCAGTTTTTTTTTTTCCCCTCTCTTTGCTGTTTGTGTTAAAATGTGACTTTCTTTTTCTGAGGTTGATGCCCAGTTACAGGTAGTGAGGAAACTGGAGGAGAAGGAGCACCTGTTGCAGAGCAACATCGGCACAGGGGAGAAGGAGCTGGGTCTTAGGACCCAGGCCTTGGAGATGAATAAACGCAAGGTATGATGGACATTACTCTTTGGTCTAACGTGATGGTTAGTCTTCAGGCAAACAAATAAGTATGCCACTGGTGAAACCGCAGGTTTGCTTTATTCCTTGGGCTTGGGTTCGTATTTTTTTCTCATTGCACACAAGTGGTGATAAGAGGTATTACTTATACGTCCATCATAGGCAATGGAGGCAGCCCAGCTTGCAGATGACCTCAAAGCACAGTTGGAGATGGCTCAGAAGAAGCTCCACGATTTTCAGGATGAGATTGTAGAGAACAGTGTCACCAAAGAAAAAGATATGTTCAATTTCAAACGGGCCCAGGTCAGTTGTTTTTTCTTCCCTTTTTGCCTTTTAGGGGTTTTCTGGGCTCTGAAGTGACCTGTTTTAAGAGTCAGTGATCTGTTGTATGCAACTTCCTACTTAACTCCTTGAGTGACAAGACAGTTTATTCTCTTCACTGAAAATTAACCCTAAAACCTATCATGGTGCCTACCACGTAATGGGTGTGGAATCAGTACTTATTTATTTAAATGAATGAGCTAGTGAAATCATAAAGAATTATCAGTAAAAAAAATTTAGAGAATTTTAAACTTCTACAATTTTTGGTTTTTGCATAACCTACTGTTTCTTAGGATGCCTTTCTAGCCTTTACAGCTGTAAATCTGAAAATTTTAATCCAGTCTATCTTCAGCTTAAAATAATTGCCTTCAAATAAAGTGGCCTATCAAGTTTTCATCATCTTCCTTTTTAAAAAAATTTAATCCCTCTAAACTCTCCAACTGGATTTTCACAGAACTGAATTGACTACACTTAGATATAACTGAAGTTTGGTGATGTCATTATGGTTGCTTGCTTGTCATTTGTAACTCTCTACATTCTTAGGCGATAATTAGACATGAAAGGACAGAAAGTCCTTTCTTTCTACAGCAGAAAGTTCAAGTTGGAGCCGGTAATTTTTCTCACAAATGGCAGGTCTGGGGGGAATAACAGTTACGCTCTCCCATCACAGGAGGACATCTCTAGACTTCGAAGGAAGCTGGAGACCACGAAGAAACCAGACAACGTACCCAAATGTGATGAGATTCTGATGGAAGAGATTAAGGACTACAAGGTTAGGAAAACCGCTTCAGTGATTTGTATGTGTATGTGTGTGTGTATGTGTTTGTTAAGGCCTACTAACAGATTAGAAGAATAAATACTGAACTTCTTTATATGAAAGTAACCAGAGAATGGTTTATTCTGGTAGGGGGTGGGGGGTGGTGCTGTTATTATCTTAGTGCTCAGTGGATTTTCTTATTGTTTGCTTCTACATGAGCCATTTGGGTCATAAACCTTTATGGTTGCTCTGACTGATTCCTTTTTTTCCTAGGCACGCCTGACCTGTCCATGTTGCAACATGCGTAAAAAGGATGCTGTACTTACCAAGTGCTTTCATGTTTTCTGCTTTGAGTGTGTGAAGACCCGCTATGATACCCGCCAGCGCAAGTGTCCCAAGTGTAACGCTGCCTTTGGTGCCAACGATTTCCATCGCATCTACATAGGTTGATCCATGCCAGGAGAAGAGGGACAGGCTCGTAGGGACTCAGTCATTGACCACCGGGCTGCTGCCGCCCGTCTCCTTGACTGTCATCCCCAGGGCAGTGTTTCTGTCAAGCCCCTTTCCTTCACAGGCTGTGTGCAGGTTCTCCTTGCTAATACTTTGATGACTTCAGCTTGGGGAAAGGATTGATAATGCCAGTCTTGGGTTTTAGAATGAATTAGAAACAAACAACTTTTGGCTTCCCCACCCACTTTATCTCCTATTTTTAGACTTTGCAACCTCTTCTTCAGGCTCCCTGGGCAACCTTGGATTGTCCATTCCTCCTGAAGAAGTCAAATCGGTATTTTTGACACTGAGAAGGAGAAAGGAAGAGTGGAGACGTGTGGCTTCTTGCAGTGGGCAGTGATCTTTTAGAAATAAGCTGTCTGCAGGTCTGGGCGGTACTCGATCTGGACAGTAAACTTCTTGTAAACTTGGATTATAAAATGATATCTTCATGTTCCTTATTCCTATTTGAAGCCTTAATGAAATTTATGTCCAGGATGAGTCAGCCCACCTCCTGTTCACTAGCTGAGTAATTTGTTAAGTTCAACTGGCTTCCTTGTTAGTTATTTAAGTTTTGGATGTTCTACTCATCAATGTCTTTAAATTTCTTGAGGCCAGAATGATTTCAAATACTATAGCCCCCTTTCATCTTATAATGAAATCAAGATGGGAAAGGCTGGGGCACAGGACTGAGATGGTGAAGAGATCCACTGGGTATTCTGGGAACTTGATGCAGAGAGGCCTTGGTGAGCTATGAATTCCTCTTATCTGCCTCTCCACAGGGGTGGTTATGACTCCTGTTTTCAGAAAATTCTATGTAATGTTTCCGTAGGACTTTATACTCCACAAGCTTCAATTAAAGCAGGATTCAGTTTGCTTTTGTGTTCATGTTTTCCTTTGAAATTTTTATATTTGTCATTATTAGTTGATTTTCTACCTGCTGTTTTAGAATTAAATTCTCTTGAACAGAAATAATCAACTGAGATTAAAAGGCTAGCTGTGTTTAAACTATTTTGTTCTGTGATTAATTGAAGTACTTTTCTCCTGGTTGTTTTATTGAGATTGTTCTGGGGAGGGGTTATGCTTTAAAGATGGTTTATTTGACTACTTAGTTCTCTTCCATAGTTTACTATGGGAGTAAGACATTGTGATTTGTTTTCCAGAAGGTATCAGGCTACCTGACACTTTAGTTTGAGTTCTTGAATGATAAGTTTTATGGTAACCAGCAAACCAGAGGTTTTTTTATGTCTCTGGTAAGGGGTTGTGTAAAATGGATCCCTTCTTGATCACCACATGTCCTAGAAGATGGGTAAGGGCAAATTCCATGTCCTTTTGTGATCACTATCTGTGATCACTATCTGTAATCAGCAGGACACGATTAGTTCCAGACTCACGTGGAATGGGTTAAGAAACAGTCTGAGGAATTTTACAGTGTCATCAAAGAGGTCATGGGCCCCTCAGTCTCCCCAACCCCCGCCCCAACACACACACACAGCCCTGCTCCCGGATACACGGTGCATTTGCGTTCATTAATAGGGCACTTTCCCCTTGCTGTTCTCTTAATAGAGCAAGTGGGAGCATAAGTTTGTTGGAAGGAGAGCAAGACAACTTCCTTGGGCAGGTAGCAGTTTGGGTTTGGATATTAACTGTTTATAACGCTTAGCTAGGAAAGCCAGCTGCCCAGCATCAGGGGACCACGGAGCCTGTGGAATGTTGTGAAAGAAACTGCTAGTCTCATGGGAAGCTGGATTTGGGGGAAGTTCCTCTAGCTGGAAAGAGCAGGGAGCCCCTAGTCCCAACTAGCTTGATGTCCAGGCAACACAGTACGAGCTCTTAATGTCATTTTTAGATAATGATCCAAAACCGGTGATTTGGGGCATTCTAGCTTCTCATTGGGAAAGAGGTCATTGAGTGGGCTTCAGGAATACCCACAAATTTTATACCAAATTCTGTTTGTGTTGTGTCTGCATTTTTCACAGCTTTTTTCAGATCCTTAAAGGATCTGAATTTCTTAAGGGAATTTTGAAACTTAACAAATCCCCAAAAGGCTAAGAATCACTGTTCTACATCCATAAGAGTTTTTTATGTCATAACTATAAATGTCAATATCAAAGATTGTAGCATACGTTTTAGAGACCCTCTTTAAAAAAAAAAAACAAAAAAAACCCACCTTTCAAGTCTTCTGGAGATGGTCTTTTGTTCTTTTTTCCTTTAGTTTTTCAACCTTGGAAACTGTCTTGGCAATTTGGACCAAAATCAAGGTTGATGTGCTCTAAGGCATGTGACTGCAAGTCTTGGTCGGGTCCTACCTTCTTACCTCCTCTAAAGGTCTTTTTCAAAGGTGTTTGGCTGTTTCTGCTAGTGATTGCATTCTTACATGAATTTCCACTAAGATTCCTTGGTTTGTTTGTATTGTCTGGCCAGGTCCACAGGCATCTTTGGATGCCACTCGAGTGGTGAGTCTGATTTGTTACCATGGGGATTCATGGGAAGATTCCAGCCAATCCACAAGTGACCACTGTCTTCTTTTAGACCTTCTGGGATGGTGATGATGGAAGGAAGCTATCTGCTGCTCTTGTCTATTTCTATAGTCATTGGTGGTGTGGAATGTCTAAACATTCACCCTTAAGATTTTCCCTGAGGACTGTTAATTGATGACCCAAGTATGGATGGCTCTGTCGAAAAGTTTTGACTAGTTCTTCTCACAAAGGCAATCTGACTGACATAAGACAGCTACACTGAGAGTATGTAGAAAACTGGTAGGTTGTATATATGTTGGACTGGGTTTACATGGTAGGAAACCCCTGGCATGGAAATCACTTCAATTTTCCTAGATCTCTTATCTAGTTGTTCCACTACAAGAAAGCATTAAGCTTTACTTCCTGGGGATTTCTGCCCAAGTTTGGTCTCCTTCTAACATAAGGTGTTAATGTCTTATGTATAACATATTTCACAGTTAAGTTAGGATATGGAAAGGACAGTGTTTCAATAATCCTTCCCAACATCCAGCAGAGGACCTGGCACGTAACACTCAGCAGAGATTTGCATGATTAAGTTAATTCAGCTCCATGTTTCTGAGAACAAATCTCCAGAAGTCTGTTTTATTGGCCTAATGAGTGAATTCAAACATTCCTTTTTTTCCACCCACTTAATGGAAACAAACTTTCCTCATATATTTAAGCAATACTTCAAATCTGAATTACCCTAAAACACATGACTGCATTTTAAATTTCATTTGTGGTAATAACAAAAGGGATTATAGTAAATTCTGAAACTGATACCCATGTTGGAGGCAACCCATGATAGTGAGGGCTTCTCTAACTGTAGGCTAACCCTTTTTGAGGGACGTTTTAGACAAAATTGGAACCATAGCATATTCATATTCGTGCAACAGTGATTTGCTCTGAGGGTTCTAGAATACTGAAATCTCTGCCATGTAATGATCTGAAAGCTCTGGTATGGGAGCTGATAGGGGACTTCAAACCATGTTCTTAGTTTAGAGATCAGGAAACAAGTCCCATTCTGCTACTATTCAAAATGTGACAATCAGACTTCCATCCACTGTTTTTCTTTCACCCTAAGTGGAAACCTGTACTACTAGAGTGTTTGTGATCAAGGAGATAGTAAGTGAAAATACTTTCTGTGTCTTTTTGGAAGTCTTTCTGAAGATTTACATAAAGCCAGTGTATTTATCCTTGATAGTTCTAATTTGAATAGGGTCTCTTTGCCACACCCTATTCCCTGGTTCAGTGAGTTCCCATAGCATTTTGTTCTGGAATAGAATTGAACCAGAAGGATCTTAGATTTCTCCTTGCTCACCTAACCCATTTATGTATTTGTGAAGTGCTTATTGTGATTCCAGGCACTATACCTAATATGACTTGGGTGAGTATGAACCTGCTGCTTAGCAAGTTACATTAGGTCTCTCTGCTTCAGATTCTTCATCTATAAAACAATAATTACTTTAAAGGATTGTTTTTGAGGATAAAATGAGATAATACATACAAAACATTTAGCAGAGCACCTGGCCCCTAGTAAATGCTCAAAACAGCATTTTGCAGATAAAGTAATTGAGAGGTCAATTTTTCTTTCTTCTACATTTTTTATTTCTAGGAAAAACAAAAGTGACATTTTCTTTGGAATCTAGGCCATGTGTATTTATCTGTGTCTGTCTCGAAGTCTACTTGTTGAGGTTAACTGATGGTCATGGCCCAGTCACTCTGGAACATCAAAAAGTTAACTTCATCTGCTCACTGCCCTACAGACAGACTAAATGCATGTGAATGACAGCCAGTTCCATCTAGTGGTGAGGAGCCTGATCTTGTCCCAGATCCCTTTCAGCGTAAAATCCTTTAATGGTTCCTATGGTCTTTGGGATACAAATTCATCTTAGCACAGTGATCTTACCTCTGCTTTTCTCTTTCTGGGCCTGTAGCTTGCCACCTACATTGTGCTTTATGTTTCTGTCATATTTAACTATTTGATGTTCTTAAATACCCTGATTGTCATAGTTTCCCAGCTCCACAACTGCACATGCTGTTTTTGTTTTTTAACCTGGGATGACTATTACTCTCCACTCAATTTTTCCACTGCACACATGACATGTAGACACAAATGGAAAGGTGTTTTCTTTGTTCTCATAGTACCTGATGTGCATTTCATTTTTTTGGCCATGCTGCTTAACTTGTGGGATCTTAGTTCCCTGACCAGGGATTGAACCTGGACCATCAGCAGAGAGAGCACAGAGCCCTAATCACTGGACCACTAGGGAAGTCCCCCAACACGTATTTGTCAGTACACACCACGTTGTTTTCCCACTTTGTGTCTCCCCACCAGACTGAGCTCCTTGGCAGCTGAATCTGCTTTCTATCTTTCTGTCTCCAACAGCCAGCCTAATGCCTGGCTCAGAACAAGCATCCAAAATATGAATGACTGAATGATATAAAACAGACTTGGGTAAG